TCTTAAATCAGGTACCATAACAACATTCATGCCAGCACGAATAGCAGCCAAAACACCATTGGGAGCATCTTCGAAAACCAAAACATTACTGGGAGCCATTGGTGGATTCCGGAATCTTTTCATTGTTACAAGATATGCTTCCGGTGATGGTTTACCTTCCTTTATTTCTGGATCGCTACTACATTTCACCTGGAATTTGAATGATTATGATGATAAATACTTGTGGATAAACAGGTGAACTTTCAATTCAAACTTTAACTTGGATATTTTGATTATGCATCTATCACATCAAGGAAAATAATTTTCCGTATCTCTTACAACATATGCCCTATAAATTATATGTATTACAATTAAATTATCTTTTTGTTTCTGTAAACAAAAAAATACATTAAAGAAAATTTTCACATTAACAATAAAACTTGAAAAGAACCACCCGTTATCCGATTATTTTCTTCGGTAAAATTTGGAAATGAAAGATTGCATTATAACGAGACAAAAACTTTTAAAATCAATGATTTTTACTTGAAAAATTGTGATGAACATAGTCGGCGTTGAGTTTGTGATTAGCAAAAAATTAAACAGTTCTAGTATAAAAAAATTACTTTTCAAAAATTGACGAAATACATTAGACGAAGTAAACAGTACACCTGTACAGGTATCAAATCGACAAGATCTTTATGGTTCATTGTTTTAAATTTGAAAGAATAATTGCTAGATCCAGAACATATCGCCATCGGTATATTATGATTATGAAAATGTCGCACCAGTCGTAATGCACCTGGCATCTTTGGACAGTGCGGCAACTTTTTGAGAAGTATTGGAAGGTAAAAATTATCGTACTCTTTTACGCTCACTTTGTCTGTTAAGCCAACCTTTAAAATTTAAAATAAGAAACAAATTGAATAATACATGGTGATATGAATGAACCATTCATTGCATTTAATGTAACATTCAGACTCTAAAACGTAAGGTTTTTAAAGTAAGAAAAATTTTTAATTCTAGTTTTATCTAAGAATATACATATGATCACAATTTACTAACTTTGTCGAGTAGTATTTTAATTGAAGATTCATGTTTCATACCCATTGTAAACGATTTCAAATCAAGCGTAAATTTCTTCCCATAATGCTCCATAGCAAATGTGTGAGTTTCTGTATAACTTGGCTCTGTATCAATCAGTAATCCATCCAAGTCAAATATCACGTGAGTAATTTCTAAGGCTCTATTTCCTGTCATATTTCTTCTATAGTTCAAACTTTTCCATATGCATTCATTACAATATTTTAATATCATAAAATACAAAAATGCCTGAAAGTTTCTCAAATTCTCAAAATATTACTTCTGTAGTTCATTTCAAAATTGAATGGTACAAAAAAAAATGCGATAAAACGTTTTAAATTTTCGAAACAGTGAAAACGCATTAAATGAATAAATTTAAAAGAAATAAGAAAAGAGGAGAAAGAGCTATGAATTATCATTTATTGAAATGCTTCATTATTTGAAACTTTCATTTCCATGAATGAGTATGAATAGAAGAAATGACAAGGCTAATACATCCATCTGTCACCATAATGTTACGTTAATAAACGAAAAAATTTCCCTCAAATATTTAAAATCATTGCTAGGCCTAACAACATTTATCACTCATTTCATCTTATATTCATTTCTTATCAAAGAAATGAATATAATGCTTTTAAATTTAAGCCGTTTTTTTTTCATTTTATGGAAATATTATACTTTTTCATAATTTTCCAAATAATCTCTATCCATGCCTAATCTTTGCGTGATAAGCCATTGCTGTTGGGATGTATAAAAATTTCGATTAATTAATAAGCAGTAAACATTAACCAATGATACTGACAACATTGCTACTAAAGGAAAAACCATCTGAAACATTTTTTTTAATCAAAAAATTCCAGTAGATGCTAAAGATAACTAAATATTTAACATAGTAATAGGCCTCTCAAAAAGATCATATATAAATATTTGATACCTCACTAACCATAAACAGTAAATAAGTTATTCAATTCGAATTTTTGAATTTTGGCAATGTAGTATTTTTAAGTTTTAGAAAAAAATCTTTCTTGAACGAAAAGACCCTTTTGCATAACTTTTCTGTTGCGCCTGAAATCATAAGTAATAGTCAAAAAGAGTAAAATTCCACATTAACGATAATAATATTTTCAGGTTTTTCTTTTCATTTAGAATTTTGTTTACCCATTCTTTCATACAATCACTTACTTGTCGAGTTGATAGCGGTAATTTGATAATTAGAATGATAAGATTTTAACTATAAGGATGAAAACATGCAAGCACTCGTATCTTTGTTTTTTTTTTTTAATAAGAAATGCAAATCAATGAACCGTTAGAAAATAATCGTAAAAAATACTTCCGAAGAAGCAATTTCTAAGAGAGTTAAAAAGAAGTAAAATTGAAACTTTCTCATACAAAGTAATTTTTCAGATTAAAACGAATCTAAATTCCACATTCCAATAACATTAATGGCAATTTTTTGTGAGGAAATTTTTCGATACTTGTTGATTAGATAATTATGTGAATTGAGTAATATATCAACTTGAAGATGGATTAATAAATTTGGTATGGTAGCAGTAAAACAGTACTTGAAATCATTTGAATTCAAAAACAACGAAAATTTTTTTTCAAAATTCTTTTACATCAAACAATCAGGTAACAAATGAATGCAAAAAAGGAATCTCTGATCAAATAATTGGCTAATTAATGGAAATTTTCAATCTTATACAGAACAAAAAAAATTCGATGTTTTTGAAATAAAATTTGCGTTAAAATTTTAAAAGTTCAAAGATTATGAGCAAGAAATTACATCTGACAGAGAGATGGTATAACGAACAATGGATATCAATTAACAAGTGAATGCAAAAAAAAGCCTGGCGAAGAAAGTTTCCGGCAATTTCATCTATGATCGATTCATCTATGATCGATATGATAATGTTAAAGAGATAAATAAAAGTTGGATTTTAAATCAAAGATCATTACATGATGATGTCAGCGTTGAAAAAAAACCAACAAAGTAATGCATTTGTTTGAACAAACTAATGCATGCCTGCGAAAATAAATGCACACCGAAATGTATCATTTCTAAAATTGAATTGAATGAAGCAAAAAATTCGAGAAATATTTCACTCAAATGAAGGCAATAATGATAATAATAACAACTTTCAGTGAGTTATTGTCTGATCTTACCTATTCAAATAACAAACAAAAATAATGGACTGCGAGATATCGATTACAAGATATTAAACATATTCAGTAACACTCAAAATAACTTTTTAATTGTAAAAATCTATTAATCAGTTGCTTTTTTTCGAATATTTAATGCTAATATCAGTTGGATTACTGCTTATATATAGCTACATGAAATACATCATATCATATCAGACATAATGTTAGTATGCTAATTGACATGAATATTGGAATGGGTAAACAAATCCTAAAAGACATAAAGTGATATTCCAAAAAGGCGTATCGAATTCTCAAAAATCATTCAAATAACAAAAACATCTGCCTGTCCCGCTAACATCTCAGAGTGCCATCTCTTTCAACGAACAAAACTGAAAATGCAAAAACTTGTTGGTTTGTTTCCCCAACCTCATCTTCCTCTTCTCATAGTCTATTATTTTTTTCACACTCTCTTCATTATGCCCTTCGGAATCAATACTTACACATCCACTCTTCTTACCTTGAATTGTATTTTCTAGAACCTTCACATACACATACATATACATACACATATGCATACATTAATACCCAAAACATTGTGGAACTAATTAATTAACATTTTTTACTTTTTAATCAACAACCGGTGAAATAGTTAATGAAATAGACTCAAAGTGTAATGTTTGGTTGTCAAATACTCAAAGGAGAGAAGCATTCCAAAATGTTCCCATATATTGGTCTTATTATTTTATACTGTTAGTTATCACTTATCAAATATACTACAATGGAATTGCTCAATTCATTCCTATCAGTAAAGCAATCAGCATGCTTATCGTATGATTTTCGGCAATACAACAATCCCTTTTCCGCAACAAAATGTACAACATATCAATCAATAAAATTGTCAGAATCAAAAATCGAAGTGAAATTTGAAACAAAAAACTTGGAAGCCATCAAACCAATTGAGTGTACCTACACACTTGATAACAGATAACAGTATTTTTACGGGAAAATATTTTTGAGCAAAAATTATTCCACCATTCTTGTACTTTGATTTCATGATTGCTTCCTGACAAGTTTATACTCTAACAGATGTGTATCTTCCGTCTCTGTCTTGACCAAATGAATATGGCGACAAAATAAACGGTCAACAAAATAAACTTCGCAGAACTCTTTATGCAATTCAAAAATAAGACAGTTGTGACATTTGTCAATATGTTCATTCCGAATAGAAGAAATGAAAGCAACAATCACAATCATTTTTTTTTTCGGAATCCTGAAAAGTCTAACTCTAAAGCTTTCTGGATTAAATATTATGAAAATGTTACACATAAAAAATGATATTAAAATTTAGCTATCAAACACGACTACTATGCAATGCCAAAATGTTATAAAATTAAGGAACGTTGTCCTATTATGACGATTATATTATTAAAAAAAAGCTCTACCGCTAACTATATTTGCAAATACGTGACTCATAATTTTAATTTTTGATAATAATGTGATGGGTGATGAATTCATTATTTATAATACAGAAATAAATGAGGAATACAAATGAGAAATAAAACAGCAATAATCTTCACTCTGCAAATCTTTGATTTTTTTATTCACACATGTTTTTTAAGATCCTAAACGCTTTCTAACTATATTTTTTTCATATAATTCTTCCAAAATAATTGTGGGGTTTAGATAGATCTACTAGATGCGATTTACTAGAACTAATTTACCCAAAGAAAAAACAGCATAAAAATAGTTCGAGAGTATCCTTTAATAAAAAGGACGTTATTATGAGGCCAATTCGTTTGTTATGCCATTTTGTTCAACAATACTCCGCCTTCAGGGACTTTCCGCTTCTTTTCAGAATCTGCTGTACTAACGCATTCGTCGCATTCTTCTTCTTCATCTAATGCGGCTGGCAAGAAATCACGATCCGGCCAGAGCTCTTTAAAAATTTTTTTTACCTGAAAATGCAAAACTATTAATAATATCAGTATTAAAAATGAATTTTCAACTACTTATACAAAGATAAAACCAATATAAACAGAATACACTTAGACATGAATATCGAAAAACTTATTCGCCCGTTTGAGAATACAAAATACAATTGGAATTGATGTATTGATAAATGTAGAAGAAAATTACCTCGAAAACAATTTGGGTATAATTTAAATGTTCATTAATATTTGGAACAATTCGCATATTTGTCGGCAAGTTGTGGGAAATTACTGATGGTACAATCAAATCAAAATAAAGGGACCATAAAATTTGAGGCTTCATTTCTTCTGTAAAATTGTATTATCGACGCTTCAGTCTTCTTATTCTTAATTTAATTAAAAGAGAATAGTTACTTCAAATTTACAATTAAGGAATGCCCGTAACTATTTTAAATTCAAGATGAGAGGATAGAGAGGTTTAAATTACAGACCATGAAAATTATGAACCATAAAACTGTAAACCAGAATAAAAGTGAGTCGAAAAATTAATGCAAGTAGAAAATTATAGTTACCATTTTTCGTCGCACTGAAAAACATATCAATAATAGGATTTAAAATAGTGCTTGCGACGCCATCACTCCGAGCAGTTATATGAGTAACGTCTAAAAGCATTCTTGTTTGTATTCTTTATTTTAACAAATATAAACTTATAAACTTCAGTCAAATTTTCATTAAGTGGAACAGTGAAGCAGTTATCACTAAAAAGGCAAACTGAACAGTAATGTACAGCTATGAAGTGACCTCAAGATTAGTCTTTCATTAGGTATCAAACTTTTGTGACTGTTTAACACCAAATATTCCTCGAGGTGCCAAAACACACGAGTCTTGGAGGGGAAATTACTAAAAGTTTGCGATAAAAAATGACCACGATTACATATGTAATAAAATTTACTGGTAAAAATGACTACAAACTAACATTTTCCTTTTGGTGCTATACAACCTTCATATCCGGCTTCTAGCAAATACGATACTGCACCACTTTTCAAATTAGCGAGATTTAATATACTAATCTAAAAAAATTGATGCCAAGCAAACATATGATTTGGATCCAATATATTGTTAACATTAAATATTGGTATTTGGAAAAAGGGAACGGCTCTTCAAAAATGATAAATTACATGTTCTTTTTCTAAATCCGGTAGAATAGAACGATCTGAGATTAAAATAACTCGATTCAATCGTGTTTGCAGCGAGGTGTCTATATGCTGCTGCGGCACGTACGTCCGATTTGTGATTACGTAGTTACATTTGATTCGCTGACCTTGTGTCACTATCGCTACAATTCTGAAAATCATAGCATCAAATTTTTAAAATCAACGATTAATACATTCATATGCCCATTTCTTTAAATTTAAATAAAATATCAAAATTGCAAAAAAAAGATTAAAATTTTATTAAAATTCAAACTTTTCGATAAAAATTACTATCCTACCTCTCATCAGCGATGACAAAGCCATCAATCGAACGATCTAAGCAATAAATTCCACCAAAAACAGCACATAGTCGGGCGAAACACTGCGGTAGTTCCCCGCTACCATATAGTGTCCACAAAAATGGCGAATCACCGAAGCGTCCAACAGATTCCATAAACTGCCATACTGCTTCCAGACCTTATAGTTTTCGATAAGTTACAAAGTGATTACATTTCGGCAAGTTGAGTAATTTCGTTGTGCGGTGCACGGAAACGAGGAACATAAAAAGTGAAAAAAGTTGGAATTTCCGATCCAAAACGAATGTTTTAGCAAGTCAAAAATTAAAAAAGCAGTGATTTAGTAGATAAAACTTATGGTTTGTTTTGAACATAAAATCTTGCAAATATAGGCAACTTATCTCTTCAGTTTTGCCTGATGGGCGTAAGATTGCTAAAGTGTCGGTAAGTATATTTTTCGCATGACCCACGATGCCAAAAGATTCCACGAAAGCATCAAATGGTTTTTCGGCATATTCTTGAAAGAAATACATTTCATTAAATCTAACATTTAAAACCTCACGACTTTTAGTACTGCTATTGAAATATTCTTTCTCAAAAAAACACTCGAAGATAGTGATGCTTTGTTTTAAAGTCAGTACCGTAACAGTTTACAGGTAAGCAAAATAGATCTCACACAAAATTCTTGGTGTCTTCATTAGTTACTTTTTGCTGAAAATACTCGAGATTGTTTACCTCTCCAACTATCATTTTCATCAGGATTTTTGCGCCATTCAATGCATTTCTGGAGAAACCTCATCACTCGCCGCTTGTCTTGCACTCTGAATATAACCTTAATATATTCCTTTGATTCTTCTTTAAAATGCGCACCTTTTTTAAGCGAATATTGTTCAAAACAAATATCGATAAAAAAAATTTGGATGCTGTTTCCTAGTAATTGATGAATATAATTTTTAGGCAAGCAGTAACCATATATAGACACATTATGTCATAAGATTTGAAAATCATCTTCAAAATAAAAAAAATCCAAAAAATAAGTGAAAATTTAGAAAATACACGATGAGAAACGAACGAAATAGTATCACTTCGGAATATTTCTCCTCGAGAACATGGAGCTACTTTAAGCGAATTTAGGCCTTCATTTGATACACAGCTCAGAAGTCGATCAACACACTTGAATTCGCAATATTTGGCAACACCCGAGTCACATAGCAGCTTTACCATACTACCTCTGCTCAACAACAGCTAAAATATGAAGAAGCGTTAGATAGTGATACTTAAATTCAAAAATTTTCGATTTGCTAGTATGGATAAAGAGAAGCAATCACTGCTTTCAACATACGCAGTTATATATAATATCCACCAAGTTCATTTATGAAAGAAAAAATAAAGTTTTCAATTCAGTTATCCATTCGAGCATTATTCACTTATGACCAAAGGTTGACAATTCAGGACAAAAAAAAACCTTAGGCAAAAGATCCAAACTGAATTTTCGCCACTGTGGATCGATATTCTGCAGACGTGAAACTATTTCAGTATCCAATTCCTGAGCATCATCAGCATGACTGAAACTCGAAAATAAACAGACATACAGACATAAATAAATAAAAATATAAACATAAATAAATAATACAACTGAATAACACATAAAAATAAACAAACAATTAGTAAATGAATAAATAAATAAAGTAGATTTAAAAAAAAGCAAATAGCCAAACAAACAAACATGATTTTAATAAATTGAAGAAATATAAATAAATAAGTTAATTAATCAAATAAATAAAATAATATGTGGTACGTTTCTGCTGTATTCAGAGCCAGACATGAGGGAACATATCCACTACTTTGACTCCAGAAAGTCTTTCAGCAAAGAAAATCAAAAAAAGTTATTCTGGAAGGCTTACTCGTTGAAATAGTGTTGATGGACATTCTCAACAAAAGACTGACATGTAACCGGTAAAAACTTTTCACCATCTAGCAGGAAAGAACCAGGACTGATCTGAGCCCTATTGTCATTCCTGCTATCTCCAATTATCCAATTCTGGATCGATTGTATATTAAATGAAGCCCACAAATCGCCATAATAATCGTTCCTTATATAAAAATGATTGTATTTGTTTTGAAAATTTTGCTGTAACAAATATCGAAAAATGAAATCTTTTTTTCTCAATTAACTTTTACGCCTACCACATTTCCAAACAACTCACCTGTCCAACTGCAAAACATTAAGACCAGAACGGGCACAAGCAGCTGCAATCATACATTCTGGAAGCCCGGTGCCCAAAATGATTACATCAAACTCCTCGGGTAAGTCACCGCTCATTAGCTCCTCACCTGCTTCTAAACCTCCTATAAACATTTATATATTTAGGGTTTTTTTATATTTATATATTTAGGTAAATTTCAATAGTTCAAACGACTACGAGATGGTACTCAGCAGCATCTACCAACGCAGTCCCAACGGTCTACTTTGCCACGATTTACATATTCCCGACTCCCAAATTTCGAAAATTTTAAAATTCTCAATCTCATCCCACTTGGACAATTATTTCCAATTACTGTTTCACCAGTGATGCTGTCCTAACTAATATTTCAGAGATTCTCCATTTTCAAATCAGAATAATATCTTTTAAGGCATGAAAAGATTCCACCAATTTTTTAATAGAAGTAAATATTGTGAATGTATTTTATTTGTAATAGGTAAAAAAATGTATATGTAAAAAGCGTTTTCTCATAATCAAAATAACTACTTACAACAAAGTAATTGAAATTTCTGACTAAAAGAATCAGCAACCCGCAGCGTAGCAATTTGCCAAATTCAGAAAACTTCATGAGAGATGAAAATAAGCACAAAATTTAACTTTAAACAACTGAAATAAAGAAAATTATATATGCCAAACATAACAGTGTATCACTCATAGTTTAAAATGGAAAAGGAAATATAAAATATTTCGTCTATTATTAAAATAATGATGTACTCAACAATATGCATTTTCATTTCCTATGGAAGAAATGGGTGATGTTAAGATGCAATATCAAATGGCTTCCTGTTATGTAAAGTATTATAAATGAAAAAGACTGCTATAATTTCTTTTTCATTTAAAAATTTGAGCATTATATCAACAAGTAAATGTAACTTACTCAACAGCAACCTGCTTCTAACAACAATAAAATAGTAAAGCATAACAATTCAAAATGTAATAAACATAGAAATTTACAAGTCTATTTATAACACAGTCATCTAACAGGCTTTCCTCCACAACTATTGCAGTACTACATTCAGCAAAAGAGCAAAAAAGCGTAAACTTTCGAAGGTGTGTTTTTTATCTTAGAGTGAAAAAAAAAGTTTTAAATAGAGACAATCTACATGACTAAGCGTAGAGAAATGACCAGTCTAACTGTTGTACAAAAGATGTACAAATCATAAACCATAAAACTTTCGGTTCCTGATTTTTCCACTTTAATTTAATGTGGTTAGAGCGCGATCGTAGAAGAGCATATATGCTTCTGATGAAGCTACTTCTGCGAACGATACTGGCGTGACCTGAATAAATTTTATATAAGATCGCCAACTTCAGATTATATGAATGAAATAATGCTTCTCCATTATAAATTTTGCGTAATAAGAAATAGTTTTTTGAGACACTTTGCTTCTTTCTACAACGTTCACCTCCGTGTCGCTTGTTTTGTACCAAGTAGACCGATTTTGAACACCAATTCCCCGACGATAAGTAATAAAATGACCAGAATGAGCCTGTCCAATATGTACAGAAATGGCACGTAGCTGATACTTGTATTTGAACATACTATCATATTCGCAGAAATTCGTTCCATTGCTGAAAAAGGTGAAAATATAAACTCATATATCTAATAAAAGACTGAATAGAAGTGGACTCACTTGACTGAAGATAGCGACGCAGCTTGTTGCCACTGTTGTTTGACTTTTGGAACAGATGATGCAGCATTTAAAGCTGAACCTCCCAAAACTCGGAAACAAGAATTTAGTAATGGGTCTTTCGTTTGCTTTGGCTTATTCTGAAATTAAAATAGAATCAGAATTGATTTTTTATTTTCCTTTGTTTAAAACGAAAATGAAACTCTCTCAATCATAGAAAATACAATCAAATGTCGTAAAAATTTATCGAATTAACAAAGGAATTCAACAAATTTGGAAAAGGAGGGAGAGGAAAAACAACTTACAGATGCTATGTTAAAGACAATTCCTTTGAAGATGCTATATAAAGAAAATAAATTTGCTTTTCTATTGAACTTATTAATAATCAAACTTGTTCGCTGAAGAAACAGTATTCTCGGATATCAATGAATTCAGGAAGCAAAAAACGTTCAGTACGCTTAAAGACATATCCACTAGGAGAGAATCCAACTCGCTCAACGCGAAATATCAGTAAGGATGGTAACTGAAACAATGCAAACTAAATTATACGAAAAAAATCAAACTACTGCATTCAGAAAGTCTCGCACTGCCATATATGACTGCGCGAGAAAAGCTCATGTACATTATTATGGTGAAGAGTGCATGAAATATAATGACCATAAACAAATATTAAAACCACCTTACAAAATCCTTGCTTCTTTATTAGTCCACCAGACGAATCGTTTTTCCTTTTTAAGCATCGGTCGCAGGATGCACCTTGAATATATTCAGCGGTAAAATATCTATCTAGCAATCCCGAAAATGTCAGCACCTGAAAGCAATAATTTTTTTTCCCTGAGACTAATAAGAAATCAGTCCATTTCATATACGTATAACCATACGTATATGAAATGGACTGATTTCTTATAAAAAGAAAAATATATAAATAAAAACATACGTTCTCTTTTTCTTGCATTTTATATTCAATTCTGTGCATCATAATAGCACAACAGTATAAAATTACAATACGGTAGAACATCAAAAATTCAATGCCACTTCTTATTTTTAAAAGTCGATATTAAAATGCAAGTTCAAAAGATTAAATAGAAAGAAATAACGTCTAGCAAAACTGCAGAACCAAAAACAAAATTTTCGCAGATTTCGTTTCGTTAATGAAAGAGCATGCGTTTCTTAAAATGCGATAAAAATGGATTTTCTAATAAATAGATTCATTCATATCGAATTTACAATTTACGATAAATACATTACCGGACTAGGCGATTTCGGAAGCGAAAGTGATAACACGCAAAATTTTTCTTCACGAATTTTCTGGAACGGATAGAAAAATGGTTAAGCTTCAAAGACCACGCATAAAATTTATCGCTGTTAATGATAGAGCGATATAAGTAAAACGGCTTGGAAGAAGTAACAAAAATAGGAAAATTTTCAACATAAAGTTTTTTTGAAATGTTTTTCAGGAATATTTTAACACACTTTGTAACGGCATTCTTCTTTACAGCAACTTAGCTGAATAGCTAATAATCCCATACATGGCGGTTTTAATAATTTCTCATCTGCTACAACACTCTGAAAAATACTTCTTCATTGAGAGTCTGAAATAAAAATGTGCTAGTTTTTACCTTTCAAAGCATGAAAGAGAAAACCAACGGGTAACCTGAAGTCTGTAAGCATTGAGGAAAACTTTGATTTGGTAGCTATGTATACTTATCATCTCTAGTGCTTCATTTTGGAATTCCTCCTGGTCCTTATGTTCACCAAGTTCAAAAAAAAAAACAAAAACAAACCTTCACATGCTCAAATGACAATGAGCTAAGTGTATGGTGTGAGTCAGAGGGTGAGCTCAAACTAATATTATCAAGAGAAACTTCTCCATGAGTTTTTTCATTGCCTTCCGCAAATACGGAATAACCGACATTTCGACGGGTTATATTAATACTGTTGGTTGATGGTTCCTCATCACTGACCGATGGACTTAAAGATGTCTTATTTTCACATTCCTGCAACTTTACTTCTGGTATCAAGATTTCAATTTTGGCTTCATGATCCCTCCAGAGCAGATTATAAGTTATGGAAGACAGAGCAATCTATAGATGCTATGAATCATGTAGTAATTCATTTTTCATACCAATTGTCGCGAATTTCGATTCGCGAAAACTTCAACCATACAAATAAATAATCAAATAAATTTCTTATTGTAAACAAATGTTCCTAATATCATGACTCATTTAATTAATTCTGCATTCCTTCAAATTATTTCTCATGACATTCTTGTGTTATCTAAATCCACATCTTCGTATTCACACATTTTGGTACGG